GGGGAAGGCAACACAAAAAGAAAAACGATAAAGGAGGTTTCTTTTTCGATCCGATGCACGCTCTCGACTTGTTATACAGTTTGGCCCTCGCTCCACTAGTAATTAAATGTGCAAAATGAGAATGAATCTTCCGCTAGAACATGGGAAAAGAAGATGCACCGCCATATTTCTTCTCTCTTTGTTTACTACCGTCTACACCCGAATAGAACGCCCGGTCATTAGCGCTGTATCTGGACCGCAAGTTGTGCCAAATACGGTTATAATGACCGGGCGTTCTATTCGGGTGAAGAAGAGGGTAGTGTAGCGAGCCCCTCCATTTGTTCTTGGCGGTTTTGTGTTTAGTAGGTGGTGTGCCTACGCCCGCGCTTGTGCGCGGAGAATTTTTCCCCCCGCGGATGCGCGCGCGGGGGGAATGGGGACGGGATGAATCGTACGCTTTTTTTTTTTTTTTTTTTTTAATTTAAATCGCAAGCTTCTCAGCCGTATCTGTACGGAATACGAAATGAAAATCGCTATTTTTTTTTTTTTTTTGAAAGAGCATTTCTTTATTTACGAAAAGCTTATGATTTTTTTCATTGCGTGTATGCGTCGTTCAAAAATGGTCATTTATCCAAGAGCCTACCGTAGCTCAGTGGGTACACCCATGAACTGATGAAAATACAGACCCGTGTTCGAATCCAGATGATGATGGAACTTGATTTGATGAGTAAAAGTTGTAAAACCAAAAAAAAAGAAAAAAGAAGGAAAAAAAAAGGTCATTTATTTTTTGTCAATGGACTCGATACTAATCCACAATACACTCAACTACCATTCGATTAGTAGACCCTTTGTGTACGAAGAGCATTTCTTTATTTACGAAGAGCTTGTGTATATGGAATATGGCAGAAGGGTAGTGGTATCATCGCAGTACACAAAGTGGGGTAGCTGTCTGTATAGTGTGTCTGTGTAGTATAGAAATTGGGGTGAAAAAAAAAAGAAGAAGAAGAGAGGGTTAAGTTGTATTGTATAGTATACAAACGCAAGTAAGTATCGAATGGAAAATTTAGTTGGATCTGTACTAGGAATCAGAAGAGAAAGGAATAATAGAGTGGGACAGAGGTAATAGAATGGGAATAGAGGTAGTAGAATAGAATGGGAATAGAGATACGAGAATAGAATGGGAATAGAGATGCTAGAATAGAATGGGAATAGAGGTAATAGGATAGAATGGGACAGAGATAGTAGAATAGAATGGGACAGAGATACTAGAATAGAATGGGACGGAGGTACTGGAATAGAATGGAACAGAGGTAATAGAATAGAATGGGACAGACGTACTAGAAATAGAATGGGACAGAGCTACTAGAAATAGAATGGGACAGAGCTACTAGAATAGAATTGGACATAGGTACTAGAATAGAATGGGACAGAGTTACTAGATAGAATGGGACGGAGGTACTAGAATAGAATGGAACACAGGTAATAGAATAGAATGGGACAGAGCTAAATAGGATAGAATTGGACAGAGGTAATAGAATTGGACAGGTAATAGAATTGGACAGAGGTAGCTGCTAGAATACAATGGAACGCAGGTACTAGAATAGAATGGGACAGAGCAAATAGAATAGAAAATGGGACAGAGGTCATACAGTGGGACAGAGGTACTAGAATAGAATGGGACATAGGTACTAGAATAGAATGGGACACAGGTCATAGTATAGAATGGGACAGGGGTACTGGTATGGGACACAGTTTTTTCCGAAATGGGTGCCAAGCCTGTCTTTTCCACGAGTTCGATTCGATCGTACGAATACGAATAGTACCTAGGTCCTAGGGTTTACGGTCCCATGGTCCATGGGTCCGTGGAGCTTCGCAACGGCAGAGTTGTTGCCCTTATTAATGTAATATTCTAGTGTCCTCCCCCTTGTTTTGCCTCCTTGTTACTGTAATATTCTAGTGTACCTTTCGTTGATGAAGCTTTCCTTGACCTACTCGTTCAAGTTACGCTAAGTCCCCCCCCCCCCCCCCCCGCTCCCCCCCTCGCAACCGCTCGGCAGGCTCTACCCCCGTCTTCACCCGAGTTATTTTTTTTTTCTTTCCCGAATACCAAATTGGGGCCAGAGACCCCACAGTTTTACTTAACCCGTCCGTTTGCGATCGTAGAGTCATCAATCTTTTGCGACGCCGTTTCACCGAGTCTTTCTTTATAGTACGGCCATTTTTTGAAGGAGGTCTATCTTTTGCTGGGCGTTTAGAAGTAAGTGTGTGCGTGGTAGACAGTGTTTGTGCTGTCTCTTGCACCAATCCTCTCAGCTCGGTCGACAGTTGCCTGCCTGCTTGTTGTTGTTGGCTCAAATACGAAGCCGACATGGTGGCCGTACAGTATGCAGTCTATTGCTACGACTGTGTGCTATTTTCGTTCTCCCCTTAGCAGATGGAGTCGTCCCCACTTTCAGTAAACCACCACCAGTACATGGGCCCAACCAACTTGAGAGCCACGATTGAGCATCTGTGAAACAATCGGATGCTTGGGGCAACGGGACCGAAATTGTTGGGGATATATATAGCTTGTGCCTACCTTGGGGTATCGGTTGTTGGGCAATGGTGGGTGCCCACCTGCAACTGGGGTTAAGGTGGATTAGCACGTACAGTGTCAGGGATTCTCTCTGTCTCTCTAGCTATATATATATATATCTGTGATATATATATGTGATATATATATGTGACGATATATGGGTGCCCACCTGCAACTGGGGTTAAGGTGGATTAGCACGTACAGTGTCAGGGATTCTCTCTGTCTCTCTAGCTATATATATATCGTCAAATAGAACTGCCCGGTAAACCGTAGGCAGAGAGGGAGAAGAGGACAACAAACGAGGGGCTGTGACAAACTGTTTCGTCGGAGTTTCACCGACTCATCAGGAGGTACATGTGATATATATATGTGATATATATATGTGATATATATCTGTCTCTTATACACATCTAGATGTGTATAAGAGACAGGCGCTCAACCTGTCATCCACGTGGCTGGCCTTGTACGTAAGAGGTTATGAACAGGTGGAGCTTTCCTTACCTCTTCCCCCTCCCCCTTTTTTCCTTTTCCTTTTTTCTTTCCCCTTTTTTGCGCTCTGATTCACAATGTGACAATATATTATCAGAAAGAACTGGCCGGTGAACAGAGGGCAGAAAAGGAGAAAGCACGAGGAACCCGTGGAAGGTGGCAGTGACGCTGTTTTGTCAAATTGACAGCAAGTAACATTAACTCAATTGACATGAACATAATAACTATTAGTAAGGATATTCTTTCTATTTGAAAATATTCCCCAAATATTAACTCAGTTGGGAAGGCATGCAAGTGGCATTCAGGAGGTCGTGGGTTCAATCCCCATTGGCCTCATGTACCTTCCTGGGGATGCTTGGCGCCCGCCACCTAGAGATAGACCACGGGATCCCCCGATCAGCATTCAGCAGAGTCTGCTGATGTTCGTAGGGGAGGGGACCACCACCTGAGGGGAGGCACAGGGATTGGTCCTGTTGGCATGGTTCCTGATGCTATCAGCTGTCCCCTAGCCGGCATCGCCCACCTGCAGGTCGGGAGCAGCCCCCGCATGTTCTCTCATGAACACGGTTCTGGCTGCTACGGGGTGCCCCGTATGCCTACAATTAGGAGTAGTGGTAGGTAGGTAGTGTGAGGTGAAATTGAGAGAAGAACACAGCTTAAAAAAACACAAAAAGAAAAAAAAAAATCACTGAAAATGTTAAATATTTCACTAAATCCATAATCCGATACTTGTATTTAATATCCCCATTATTATCCCCGATAGTCGGAATCGTAATTAGTACGAGTAAGCTTCACACCTCACGGTGCTTCGAGTTTTACTTCTCACCTATTTGAGTGATCATGGTCTTTCACTTTGTATGATAGCTTTTTTCAAGAGGGGTTTCCCGCTTAATATATGCTTTCAGTGGCTCTCCCATACCAACGTAACTACCCGGGAATGGTCGCAATGCCACTGGCTCAACGCATTCCCTTTTTTTGGGGGGATTGCTGGTTCTTTTGTT